AAGGAAGTGGTGGTGTATCTGCTGCAGATGCACAAGGTGGGCATTCCCGCAGTAGAGCAGAGAATTTTCACCTGTTTTCTGGACACGTCGCTGCGACTCCTGGAAATCCTACACAAGGTGAGGAAAAAGGTGCAGTGTTAAATTCCTGCTGCACATTATATCCTTCTTTAAAGGACTACAAGTGGCAGTCTCTCCCACTTCTCGCTTCAGGTGAGCGAGAAAGCGGGACACATCATTCAGTATGGCAAGTTCTACATTCATGAGTTGGACAACCTGATAGACATCCGAAATGACTATGTCACATGGCTTCAGAGGCAGATGTACCCAATGGTGAGTCTGGATGTTGGCTCTGCGATTCAGTAATACATCTTTCTATGTTAAGGTTTTGATGTGAACCTTTTGTTTATGCTCTATCCCCAGGGACATGATGGTGTGGTGACTCTGTGCAAGTATCCCTTTGTATTTGATGCCCAAGCAAAGACTACACTCCTTCAGACAGATGCTGTCTTACAAATGCAGGTACTACTCACTAAACCTCTTAAAGGCAGTTTCTTACCTTTATTCTCACTAATCGCTTCATAATCATGTGTTTTCTGTATTAACAGATGGCAGTGGACCAGGCACAGATGCAAAATTTCAGCTCCATGTTCCTACCGGCTGTGGAATCCGTCAACCCGTGCCTCATCCTCATCGTTCGCAGGGAAAACATTGTTGGAGACACTATGGAAGTGCTCAGGAAGTCTAAGAATGTTGACTATAAGAAGCCACTAAAGGTAGAAACAGCATTTAAGTTTGAAGCTTTAAAAAAAAAAGAAGCAGCATAACCCAAACCTGATTTAAATTTGGCCACCATTTCCATTCCAGTCATATTCTTGTAAACTCTGGATCCCTTCCAGTACTTGTGCTATTATTGGATTGTTTCCAGGAAGTCCCGTTCTGACAACATGCACATGTGCGTGTGTGATTTCAACATGGACCTCCTTGCAGTCTACAACGACACCACTAACTCAGGGAAGAAACATCATACAGCTAAGAGCTAGAGAGTGTAAAAAAGGCACTCTTCAGGTTTATAAGTCCACAACGTCCAAACGTAGCATCAACATTAGGTCACAAGCTTGACTTAAAGCATGCTAGGCCTTTTTTTACAGTGTTGCAAATTGTAAATCCGTTCTTAAGGTTCAAAACTGTAGATTCTGTCTCAACTCCTCACAATTTCGACACAGAAGTGGTGATCCAGTGAGCACACAGAGTGGTGCAAGTGGTTGGAACAGGATTTCCAGGTAGCGATCGCTAAGTATCGCAGGAGCCGTGGCCTTGACAACGAAGACAACTGAACGAGCTAACAGCCAAATTTAAATCAAGTACACTTAGGATGAAGTTCCTAGTTATGAATGAAAATACATATATGAATGTGAAAGATGCTGCTCATGGTAATGAACCCACAGAGTATGCCAGGTTCAAACGGTACTGTGACTTACTTGTGACATTTGTGGCAGGTGATCTTTGTGGGAGAAGAGGCTGTCGATGCAGGCGGCGTGAGAAAGGAGTTCTTCCTTCTGATCATGAAAGAGCTGCTTGATCCCAAATACGGAATGTTTCGTTACTACGAGGAGTCTCGCCTCATCTGGTTTTCAAACAAGGTACTTGCTTTAAACCAGGCGGCATCTCCGCGTGATCTTTGTGAAAACCTTCCTCGATTAAATGCTGACAATCACCGACTGTCCCTTGCAGACATTTGAGGACATTGACTTGTTCAACCTCATCGGGGTCATCTGCGGTCTGGCCATCTACAATCTCACCATCGTTGAGCTCAACTTCCCCTTGGCCCTTTACAAGAAGCTTCTGAAGAAGAAGCCAACGCTAGAAGACCTGAAAGAGCTAATGCCAGATGTGGGAAGGTCAGATCAAGGAACAGTCACCTGAGGTTTCCATTTAATATGTTTATGAATGGTAGTTTACCTTGGCATTGTCTTAACGTCATCTAAACCTTTCAATGCCACAGTAATCACACAGGGAATTGTGTTCCTGTTCATCCAGGAGTCTGCAGCAGCTACTAGACTACACAGAAGATGACCTTGAGGAAACCTTCTGCTTGAATTTCACAGTAAGATGATTGACTATCAACATTTTCTGCTGTGGTTAAAGTAAGTTGTGTCATCCACCTATCATATGATTTTTATTTTTTCAGATCACAGAGGAAAACTACGGTGCCACAGAGGTTTTGGAGCTTGTACCAAATGGGGAAAACATTAACGTCAATATGTCAAACAGGTAAAGATTTTTTTTTTTTTTTTTAAGTTGTCCTGATATTTATCCATTAGCAGTTATCCACTAAGGGATTCATGAATATTTTGGACTGTTGTTGAAACATTCACGTTACTCTCATTTTTCTTACTTTCTTCTCCTCTAGGCAAGATTTCGTCAGTGCCTATGTAGACTATGTTTTCAACACATCGGTAGCTCCACTCTTCGAGTGCTTCTATTCAGGCTTCCACAAAGTGTGCGGTGGGAAAGTTTTAGAACTCTTCCAGCCAAACGAACTGCAAGCCATGGTTATCGGCAATACCAACTATGACTGGATGGAGCTTGAAAAGGTTTTGTATTAAATAGTGATTAGTAAAAATTGCATCTGGCCACGCAATGTGAAGAAAATATCTGCATAGCCTTTAGGACTATGAAATCTGTATTTTTCCGAGTGTCCAGCAGGGGGCGACTCCTCTAGCTGTATTGAAATTTCCTTATGTCTCACTTGATTTATTACCTCAGTAAACATTTTACGAATTTAGTTTATGGTCTTGTATGCTAGTTTAACATTCCATCTAATACAGTATAATCTTCATTTTGTGAATTAAGGAAACATTTGCCGGTATGGTGTGATTGGCAGGTTGCTGATGTAAGAGTGTGCAGTATCCTTGGTTTCTCAGTCAATACATCATTTAAAAGCCCCAGTGGCCACTGTGAATCTCACTTTTTAAAGTGAGCCTTGTACATTATAAGATGGATTATGAAAATCATTTTTGTTTATGCTCTTTTGCTCATAGACTACTGAGTACAAAGGGGAGTACTGGACAGACCACCCTACAATCAGGCTTTTCTGGGAGGTGTTTCACAATCTTCCATTGGAGAAGAAAAAACAGTTTCTCTGTAAGTGTTGCCCTAAACAGCAGAAAAGTTAATTTCATTAATTTTGTGTGAGTTTGCATGTTACATACGGACCTTGAAGAATGAAGAGAAACAAAAATCTTGTCTTTACAGTGTTCCTCACTGGAAGTGACCGCATCCCCATCTTGGGCATGAAAAGCTTGAAACTGGTGATCCAGCCTACTGGTGGAGGGGAGCATTACTTACCTGTCGCCCACACCTGCTTCAACCTGCTGGACCTGCCCAAGTACACGAGTCTAGAAATGCTCCGTGAGAAGCTGCTACAGGCTATAGATCACAATCAAGGCTTCAATCTTGCCTGATAGAACATAAAAATCCATGTTGAGACTGTTGATGGCAACCACATTCCCAGATGGTTTTTTGCAGACTTCTCAGTCTGGATGAGTCAAACACAAGTTGAAAAAAATAAAAATTAAAAAGGAGGCCACATGACACTAAAGGTGACTGAGATGAACGGCTGGACTTTCATGTTAATGTTGATTTTTTTTTTTTTTTTTTTTTTCCAGCTGCTTTCTTGCCATCAAAGTATTTGAAGTCCAATCCCACACAATTTGATTCACATTTAATATTGCTCATGTAGATATGCTTTTATTCATGTTTGGATAGGACGAAGCAAACTACTGGTATATACAGCACAGGGGCATAAATAAACTGACAAACTCCTGTAAAATACAGTGAAATTTTTCTAATGCTTAACACCTAATTTATTGTGACAGTGAGATGCTTCTATTATGTTTTTACTGGTTTAAAATGTAGTCAAACACCACAAAATACCACGTAATTCCACCCCCCCAAAAAATATAGAGAAAAATAAGACCTGATTCACATCTGACAAGGTGTCAACAGAAACATATTTTTTAAACTACACTCTAGCAGTATTTTCTGCATGGCTTTGTCATCAAAGTGACACCGTATTTTACAGGAGTTTGGGTTTTTTCATCCCGTTGCAAAAATTGTTAGCCAATGTAAATCTACTTTGTTTGACAAAGGTTCTCTTGTGACATTTGCTCGAGAGCAATGCGAAGTGTTTGCTATAGATGCTGAGTGGATTTTCTTGGCTGTCTGCCTTAACAATCCACAAATAAAAACAAAGTACAGCCACTGAAATAAATGGGTTACTTGCTGGTAAGGTTCTAAGTTCTTATGAAAGGTTGGTTATTTTTAATATAGTACCTTGTGTTTGAATATTGCTGTAGAAGGTATTTTTTAACAAAAAATATACCACATTTTGTTTTTAAAAGGGGTTAATTCTGCTTTTTGTTATTTTCTTTCAAATATGTTCTGATGATGGATGTTCTTATGACACCTGACCAGAGTTTCAGAGGAGGTGGTAAGTATAGGTATGTGTAATCCGTGTGCTCAGGCATCAACGTCTTCCTACTCTTGGGTTTGTATGAAGTTACAAAGGGCAGATGTCATCTCGGGCACACAGCCATTTCCTATTCACATCCTGCAAGTGGAGGGGCTCATGAAAGCGGTAAAGACAGCCAAAGTAATTATTTACGCCAAAATCTAGACGGTAAATAATGGCGATTTTTTTAGATTTCACATTTACAATATCACTTCATTCTTCCAAAGAAGGTGATTTTTCCCTATGATTGGCTAATTGTTGACACAATGACACATTTCTTCAAGGGCAACTGTTGAGGTGTCAGAAATGTAGTCGAAAGCGCAATAGAAACCTTTGAGGGGCAGCCAATCAGAAATAAAGTTACCTTAAAGTCAGAGAGATGAAATCTGAGGGCCTGCATTAAGGTAGAGTATAAGAAAAACAAAGCTGCTGTGATGAATTAAAATATGTTGGAAATCAGAATAATAGGTCCCCTTTAAAGTCCAGCTTATATAGTAAATTAACCTTTAATATTTTAACTGTCTGTTCCCTCATGAAAATACCCATCAACACATTCCACTTCAAGTCACAATTTAATCATAAACTGTACAAGTTGAATGATGTGCACACACTGCAGAATATGGCCTTAAAGGAGGCAAATACACGTCTGTTGTTGCCCAATTTGGGGGCTTTGTGTGTTAGTTTTGGTATCAGTGGGGCAACTCGTGATGGACAAGCTTATAGTGGGAACCACAGGAAGGACAGCGCTGGGCCTCTCCCTCATGAAGCCAGAACCACACAATAGCAGTGTTGTCTTCCTCACCTGCAAAGATTTTTAAAAAGTTATAATTAAAAAAAAAAAAGTTTTTAACACTGGTAAAACAGATTCATAAAGGGGAAATTGTATTCATTATGCATCACTTACAGAGACATCCCACCAGCCTCTTGGTTCCAATGCCTGGCACAATGTGAGGGTCTTCTTTGGTACCAGCATAGTGCTTTGGTTTCAGGATGCTGTAAGGGTCCTGTGATGTAAACGGGAAAAAGAAAAAAATTAGCTTATGTGCAGTTCAGGTTCATTATCATATGTATACAGTAGCCTACCTTTCCCTGTTTGAGGGCCTGGAGGGTACGGCGCTCCAGCCCAGTGGCCTGTTCTTCATCTGTTGGTATGCCTGAAAAATTAAATAGCAAAAAGGTTTCTATTAAAAAAATGAATAAATGATAATAATATATACAAATAATAAACAAAAAAAATCTGTATTTGATTCAGCTGCTTAAAAAAAAAATCAGTTTTATATTAAAAGCCTATAATAACTTGCTTAAATCTTACCTCTTGCATATGGCCTCCGCACACTAATAACTAAAAAGACTAAAACTAACACAGAAACCAACACTAAACGTCTTCTAAGAACAAAAACTAAACTAAATTAAAAAGAAAAGCTCAAAACGAAATAAAAATTATAACTAATTAGAAAATACAGAACTATAATAAACTCTGTAATGAGTGCGGGCAAGCCTGCACGTCAGCATTGGACGCCTCCCACAATAACACACTCCTGTCCCCTATCAGGGTGCTGGCACCTGCCCAACAGAGTCTGCCAAAGGAGGTGGGTCTATCAAAGGCCTTTCCACTCGCTAAAGTCCAAATGACCTTCATTTTTTTTAAGGTGTACTTTATAGTCGTATTTAGGTAGGGGTTTTGTGTATCTCAAAGCACTTAGGCCTCCCACAAATATGTTTTACTTCTGTAAATAAATATGTACACAGGTGTTTCTTTTTGCTGTAAATAAAACACTGGCGGTAGCTAGCTAGCACGTACTGCAAACTCCTTGTTACTAACTTGTCAGCTACCAAACTAAACAATAAAGACGCCGCTAAAATTGCCAATATAACCAGCTTTTCGCACTAAGTCGAGTGAGCGGTGACAGCTGTGGCTGTAACGCACTCCGGAGGCCTGTGAAGTCACGTCTCCTGTCGTAAATACGGAGTCCTACCTCTCACTGTGGCCATTGAACGGTGCAGCGGGGCCAGCACGCCGCTCCTCAGCTGCAGTGTTGTTGTACAAGCTCGGAGAAGAAGACGTCCCGCCATTATAGTGCCTTTTTCAAGTACAGTGAATGACCTGACTCTGCTATAAACCGGACTGAAATGACCCCACTACAACCGCCTGAGTGACGGGTGCGCGGGCCAATGAGCAGAAGCGCAGCTGATCCGACCAATCAGATTCAGCAGTGGGAGGCACGCTCTACGGGTGGTAAACACCGCTGTATACTTTATTATAGAAAAACGTAGTTTCATTTTTGTTATGTAAAAAAACAGCAACAAAAAAAAAAAAAAAACACTTTAAGATAGCACCTGTTATTGTAGTTATTTAGTTTACATTTCCGTGCAATTACAAGGGAAGAAGGAACCATCAAACTCAAAAACCAAATGTACAAACCATACACGGGCATTTGAAATTGCAGTGCTCCCACGGACCTCAGACTTACACTTAAACAAACATAAAAGATAAAAATTAAAATCTTATGTACATAAGGTTTGCTCCCAACACACATAGGTGTTTACATCAGCGCTGTAATTTGCACTAATCAACTGAACAACTACTGTTATAACTTGCACATTATTTTTTCTCAGTTTATATATACTGACATATTGGAAGTTACATTTACCTTTTGATGCACAGATACAATGCACAATCTGTACATTTTGTAAATATTCTTAATTATTTAAACATCTTCCAGTACCCTGCTCTGTTTGCGCAATAAAACCTGGGTTTTCCACTTTCATCTGTACTTCGATCTTAATAACTGTACAGTACTCTGTTTTTGTACATTGTCCATGATGTAAATATGTGTTTCTGTAAAAAAATATATATATATATATTGTGTGTGTTTTTGTAGAGCAGAAGCAGTCAGCTCATTTGAGGGTGAAAACAAACTCAAACAAACTCAACAACCAGACGGTGTTTTTTGCTGCTGTTACAATCAAATTTCCCCTTGTGGGACAATTAAAGGATTTTTCTATTCTGTTCTATTTGTAAAAATGTGCTATATTTCCCTATGAGGTGTGGTATTTTAAATCCTTTTACCACTGTGCTCGAATAAATATAGACCAGCAGAAAGAAAGAGAAAAATGCTGACAGAGGTACTCTGCAGTGGAGAAAGAAGAAACTTGTTGAAACGTTGTTTCTTTTATTTTTCTCCTGTGATCCAGATGGAGGCGGTGATGGACCAACAAACATCAATACTCACATGCTGGCTCACATGGTGATGACAAAAAAAAGAAGGTGTTACAAGCTGTAAAAACGTGATGTGTGAGTATATATGAGGAGAAAGAGCGTAAAAAGACTGGGTCCCGCTGTATTACTCAGGCTGCACTACAGCGTCTATTCACAGGCGCGATCCCACTACTGAGCGGCACGGGGGCTTTGACCTGCTCCGTTTCCGACCTGGGCCGGTGCACCCCTCCTTAGGCGACCTGGTGGTCCCGAGCTCCCCCAGGAGCACCATATCGATACCGAACTTAGTGCGGACACCCGATCGGCATAGTCCGCTGCAGCTCAGAGCTCCTGAGCTCAAACGATCCGCCAGCCTCAGCCTCCCGGTAGCTTGGATTACAGGCGCGCGCCACCGCACCCGGCAAGAGGCGCCCTCGTTTACGCAGACTTTAAGGTTTACACACCTGACGTCATCAGGAAACTGCTGCAGATAGCAGCCAACAGCAGCCGTAAAGGTGCTGCTCAACACACAGTCAACACACAGTTACTCATTTAAAATGTCTAGGTTTTAATAAATACAACCGAATCTTACAACCAAAGTGGTCATCTCATGTAAAAATATATAAAAATTCATTATTGTATATAGTAAATATTAAGTCTAATATATGCCCTAATAAGCTATAGTACTTTTTCCTTTGGGAAGGTACCATGTGTGCAGTCTGCAATTCTGTTGCGGAAAGATGTTGAATCTATTTATTTACTGTAGAAAAATAATTGGTTTCTGTGCATTTGTTTTACCCTGGCAATAAATTAAAGTCGATTAAGTTGATTAAGCATCATTAGGCGGAGGGTGGGGGCGGTTCCCTATTTTTGCTGGGAGTTGGCAACTCTGCTAGTTAGGTATATGTAATTATTGATTAGGTTGTTTGATATTTCCGGTAAGTACTGTTTAAAATACCAGAATAGGGAGGATGGTGTAGGTTTAAGTTTATTAGATTGACACATATATACCAACAGGACAGCGTACATCACTGTCACAACAGCATTTGTTTTCATTCAGAGGCTTTATGGCTTTTCCTGTAATTCCTGGTGTGCTGTTCTCTAGTCAAAATGCCCGGGCTGATTTTTTTTTGTCCCAGTCCAGTCCTGCGTGTTCATCAAAGTCAATCACTGAAAGAAAAAAAAAGTTCACCGTCTCTTTGAATTTGCAGTGATGGTCATTGCTACTCCCCTCCAGTTGGAGGCGCTGTTGGACCAACAAACAGCGGTGGTTTTCAATGGAACGAGAGGACAGAGAGACCGTGTTTGACGCTTTTATAAGCTGTAAAAACGTGATGTGTGTGCTGTGTGTATATTTCTGTGGAGAGGAGAAAGAGTATAAAAAGACTGGGTCCCGCTGTATTACTCAGGCTGCACTACAGCGTCTATTCACAGGCGCGATCCCACTACTGAGCGGCACGGGGGCTTTGACCTGCTCCGTTTCCGACCTGGGCCGGTGCACCCCTCCTTAGGCGACCTGGTGGTCCCGAGCTCCCCCAGGAGCACCATATCGATACCGAACTTAGTGCGGACACCCGATCGGCATAGTCCGCTGCAGCTCAGAGCTCCTGAGCTCAAACGATCCGCCAGCCTCAGCCTCCCGGTAGCTTGGATTACAGGCGCGCGCCACCGCACCCGGCAAGAGGCGCCCTCGTTTACGCAGACTTTAAGGTTTACACACCTGACGTCATCAGGAAACTGCTGCAGATAGCAGCCAACAGCAGCCGTAAAGGTGCTGCTCAACACACAGTCAACACACAGTTACTCATTTAAAATGTCTAGGTTTTAATAAATACAACCGAATCTTACAACCAAAGTGGTCATCTCATGTAAAAATATATAAAAATTCATTATTGTATATAGTAAATATTAAGTCTAATATATGCCCTAATAAGCTATAGTACTTTTTCCTTTGGGAAGGTACCATGTGTGCAGTCTGCAATTCTGTTGCGGAAAGATGTTGAATCTATTTATTTACTGTAGAAAAATAATTGGTTTCTGTGCATTTGTTTTACCCTGGCAATAAATTAAAGTCGATTACGTTGATTAAGCATCATTAGGCGGAGGGTGGGGGGCGGTTCCCTATTTTTGCTGGGAGTTGGCAACTCTGCTAGTTAGGTATATGTAATTATTGATTAGGTTGTTTGATATTTCCGGTAAGTACTGTTTAAAATACCAGAATAGGGAGGATGGTGTAGGTTTAAGTTTATTAGATTGACACATATATACCAACAGGACAGCGTACATCACTGTCACAACAGCATTTGTTTTCATTCAGAGGCTTTATGGCTTTTCCTATAATTCCTGGTGGGCTGTTCTCTAGTCAAAATGCCCGGGCTGATTTTTTTGTCCCAGTCCAGTCCTGCGTGTTCATCAAAGTCAATCACTGAAAGAAAAAAAAAGTTCACCGTCTCTTTGAATTTGCAGTGATGGTCATTGCTACTCCCCTCCAGTTGGAGGCGCTGTTGGACCAACAAACAGCGGTGGTTTTCAATGGAACGAGAGGACAGAGAGACCGTGTTTGACGCTTTTATAAGCTGTAAAAACGTGATGTGTGAGTGTGTGTGCTGTGTGTATATTTCTGTGGAGAGAAGAAAGAGTATAAAAAGACTGGGTCCCGCTGTATTACTCAGGCTGCACTACAGCGTCTATTCACAGGCGCGATCCCACTACTGAGCGGCACGGGGGCTTTGACCTGCTCCGTTTCCGACCTGGGCCGGTGCACCCCTCCTTAGGCGACCTGGTGGTCCCGAGCTCCCCAGGAGCACCATATCGATACCGAACTTAGTGCGGACACCCGATCGGCATAGTCCGCTGCAGCTCAGAGCTCCTGAGCTCAAACGATCCGCCAGCCTCAGCCTCCCGGTAGCTTGGATTACAGGCGCGCGCCACCGCACCCGGCAAGAGGCGCCCTCGTTTACGCAGACTTTAAGGTTTACACACCTGACGTCATCAGGAAACTGCTGCAGATAGCAGCCAACAGCAGCCGTAAAGGTGCTGCTCAACACACAGTCAACACACAGTTACTCATTTAAAATGTCTAGGTTTTAATAAATACAACCGAATCTTACAACCAAAGTGGTCATCTCATGTAAAAATATATAAAAATTCATTATTGTATATAGTAAATATTAAGTCTAATATATGCCCTAATAAGCTATAGTACTTTTTCCTTTGGGAAGGTACCATGTGTGCAGTCTGCAATTCTGTTGCGGAAAGATGTTGAATCTATTTATTTACTGTAGAAAAATAATTGGTTTCTGTGCATTTGTTTTACCCTGGCAATAAATTAAAGTCGATTACGTTGATTAAGCATCATTAGGCGGAGGGTGGGGGGCGGTTCCCTATTTTTGCTGGGAGTTGGCAACTCTGCTAGTTAGGTATATGTAATTATTGATTAGGTTGTTTGATATTTCCGGTAAGTACTGTTTAAAATACCAGAATAGGGAGGATGGTGTAGGTTTAAGTTTATTAGATTGATACATATATACCAACAGAACAGCGTACATCACTGTCACAACAGCATTTGTTTTCATTCAGAGGCTTTATGGCTTTTCCTGTAATTCCTGGTGGGCTGTTCTCTAGTCAAAATGCCCGGGCTGATTTTTTTTTTGTCCAAGTCCAGTCCTGCGTGTTCATCAAAGTCAATCACTGAAAGAAAAAAAAAGTTCACCGTCTCTTTGAATTTGCAGTGATGGTCATTGCTACTCCCCTCCAGTTGGAGGCGCTGTTGGACCAACAAACAGCGGTGGTTTTCAATGGAACGAGAGGACAGAGAGACCGTGTTTGACGCTTTTATAAGCTGTAAAAACGTGATGTGTGTGCTGTGTGTATATTTCTGTGGAGAGGAGAAAGAGTATAAAAAGACTGGGTCCCGCTGTATTACTCAGGCTGCACTACAGCGTCTATTCACAGGCGCGATCCCACTACTGAG